AAAAAAAAAACAAAACAAAAACTTCCTTCCCTGTGCTGGCCGCAACTTTTCTCACGTCAGTTATTCTATATTTATTCTCAAAGACATACTCGAGAAGTGCAAAGAAGTTAGTGGTCTTTCTTTTAGCCAATACATTTTTCAGGCAAAGAGAATCAAAAGGAAAACTTTAGAGCTATGTTTTACTGAAGTGTGGAGGACTAACCCCAAAAGGGCAAATATGTACTACTGTGGTCAACTGGCATTCAAGTTGATTTCTAATGCTTTGTGTTTAAGTCTACTCAAGCCGATCACAGAAATGCTGCAAGAAATTCCGAGCTACACAGCAACAACTTCTCAAACATGCAATTTTACTTCTTCACGTGCTTAGGCCCAGAGCTCCAAGAGAGTCTGCTATCACAATACTTTGTTAATACTACTGCTTAATGGCATCTGACCATACTGTATTGGCTAGCCCCTTACAGTCAAATCTATACTATTCACAAATGTGTAATCACTCCCCGGAAATTCTACTGTGACTCAGAATCTATTATACTATCTCACCACCCACCACAAAGTTAGTCACTAGTTTCTTGCAAGAATGTTTGGCCTGAGCAGAGGAGCTGCTAGTTTTGCATGCAGAAGAATACATCTAGAATGCTTGCCTGAGAAACTGGGTGTTAATCAAACATTTTCTCTCACAATCGTGCTGTTCCTTCATTTCAAATGATCTTGAATTAACAAGGGATCCTGACATTGTCCTGCAACATCTGTATGCTTCCCCCCCCCAATCTTCTTAGCAGTTCCCTCTCTGCCACTCCCCCCACCCATGTATGCCATCAGAAACAACTAATAATTTGGAAGCATTAAATGGTATGATTAAGGAACCAATCCCTGGAAAATCCTACACAATACAAAGAATCACCTGATAACTAATATATCAAACCTAACGTATCAACTTATTTTGTCCTAATGATGGCAACTTACAAATGTCCCTTACATCTAACACCCAAAGATGATGGCCTTTAATATGAAAACAACTATTTTGGCCAGGCATGGTAGCTCACACCTGTAATCCTATCGCTCTGGGAGGCTGAGGCAGGAGGATGGCTTGAGGTCAGGAGTTTGAGACCAGCCTGAGCAAGAGCAAAATCCTGTCTCTACTAAAAATAGAAAAAAATTAGCCAGGCAAGATGGTGCACACCTGTAATCCCAGCTACTCAGGAGGCTGAGGCAGGAGGCTCACTTGAGCCCAGGAGTTTGAGGTTGCTGCAAGCTAGGCTGACACCACAGTACTCTAGCCCAGGTGACAGAGTGAGACTTGTCTCAAAAAAAAAAAAAAAGGGAAAAGAAAAGAAAACAACTATTTTATTAGATCAGTTTTATCAAATAAAATTTCCACCCCAACTCTGTTGATGGAAGGACTGATATGAGAGAAGACTTTTCACAGGACTGTTGAGAGTATGTCTGGGCAGAACATCGGGGACGCACACCTAAGAAATAAATGCAGTGAGATTTGAAGAAAGTTGAAGGGTTGGATGCATGAAACGCGTCTTAATATAAAATGCTATAGCTAGGGTACCGTCAAACGTTACTAGTTGGCCGAATTAATTGCTACAAGATTCTAAATATGACACACTCTCCACTGAAACTTCTTGCTGTATACTACCTAGAAAGCAAAGCAGTAATTAAATAGCAGTTACAAATTTAAGCTTTAATTGGGAAAAAAAACAAAACCAAAAAACTACCTACCAAAAATCCAAGAGATAAACACCTTCCCCTTAGTTTAGAGCAATACTTAGATTAAAAAGAACCTAGTTGCTATGCACTGCTTGTAAAAATAGCAC